TGTCCTGTGTGGGGTTTGTGTCCTGATCCCTGAAGCGTGTAGGAGCTGTGTCCTGTCCTGTGTGGGGTGTGTGTCCTGATCCCTGAAGTGTGTAGGAGCTGTGTCCTGTCCTGAGTGGGGTGTGTGTCCTGATCCCTGAAGCGTGTAGGAGCTGTGTCCTGTCCTCTATGGGGTTTGTGTCCTGATCCCTGAAGCGTGTAGGAGCTGTGTCCTGTCCTGTGTGGGGTTTGTGTCCTGATCCCTGAAGCATGTAGGAGCTGTGTCCTGTCCTGTGTGGGGTCTGTGTCCTGATCCCTGAAGTGTGTAGGAGCTGGGTCCTGTCCTAAGTGGGGTGTGTTTCCTGATCCCTGAAGCGCAGTGCCGTGTCTTTCCCAGCTGGCCGTGCTGGGCGCCTGTAACTGCAGCACCAGCGAGGAGGAGCCCTGCCCCTGCGCCCAGTCCGCAGCTGCCAGCCGGAAGCAGGTCCTGCAGCTCAGGCAAGAGGTACCGTTTACCAGAGATTTCTACACACCCACTGCGTTGAACACCCAGCCGGCATCTTCTTCCCACAAGAGGCCCCCTGATTACATCAGCTTGCATTATTATCCTCATCTAGCATGGCGTCTTCATCGTGCCTCCATTCTACACTAGTTTCTACATACAGTATCTGTGTTTTTCACCTTGTTCAGCGCATGTTTACATCATTTAAGATTTCAGACTTTCACTTTAAAGACTTTTTTGGCCATTTTCTGGCCTCTACCACGAGTAAAATCCTTTGGGGTTTTTTAACAACGGTAAGAAGAAAGTATTACATGACGCCGCCGGGTCCGATTCACATTTGTCCCACAACCGTGAAGAGGGAAACTGCACGTCAGCAAACTTAATCAGGCAGGATTCCAGAGAATTGTGCATCTCACTTTGACACTTCAGGTGGAAAACAGGCTCTTAATTAATTCAAGTTTTAATTTCTCATAAAAGTGTCAATAGTCCTTTTCAAGATCCAGCACATTCAAGTCAGCAGGGTATTTTTGTGCAGTAAGTGTCTGGGATAAAGAGCGATAAAAAGTTTTCCTGTTGGCCTCTGCTCCGCGGGCAATGTTTTGCTGTAGCTGGATGTCCAAAAGAAGCGAAAAGAGGAGGCGTATGTGACGGCAGATGCCTTCCGCATTGCCTTTGAGCAGCAGCTGAAGAGGAGAAGCGACCAGACCTTTCGTCTGACAGAGACCGAGGGACACCTGCGCAAAGACGTCCCCAGAGCCAGGAAGGAGGAAGGTATGGTTAATTCCAAACAAGGTGTTACTGTTTACTCGGAAGGAGAGTGCAGGTATAGTGCGACAGACCCCCGGACCGCAGGCTGGGATCTGCGCTGCGCACCTCATGGACTGCTGTTGTGAGCTTTAGGCTTTTATAGTCCGCATGGGGTCCTCGGGGGAGAGCAGGGTGGCTGTGGAGATGCCTGTGGATCAAGATTCAGATTCTCTGTTTTCAAACAAGGCATCTTAGAGGTCTTTATCCTCACCGGCAGAAAGAAAAACACAGCCTGCTACCAAATATTTAAAAATCCTATATAATAGTTACACAGGCCAATAGGAGAGATATACCTTCCTTCTAAACCAAACACAATAAACTTAGAAAATCTCTCTATAAACCTGGATGCTACAAAAGTGAAAGGGAACCTATATTATTAAAAAAAATGCACACACTTACAGGAGAGGCTGTTTTTAACCGAGGGATTCTCTATGCAGGAAATCGTTTTTTTAAAAACAACGGTACAGCAAGCTCTCTAAAAAAGGTTCAAATACTGAGCTCCGTTCTGGTCTTTGCAGTTAATCTGTACCCAGACCTCTCCCCTGGCACTTTAGTCTAGCGGTCCGTCCTCTCCTCTGTGTCTCCGGCCTCTTCTCTTTCCCTCCTCTCTACCTTTCTGTCTTTTTATCTGGTTCTCCTGGACTGTCGACGACTCTTAATGATTTACCAAGATCTTAATTAGCCAAGGTAAACCAGACAGTTCCATTGATCTGAATGTGTCTCAGATCCTCTACAACTCAGCGGCTCCAAATGTGTTACCATTTTTTCCTCATGACATCTCAATAGCCACTTCCAAAAGAACTGCTGAACCAGTCAAAAGATTGGATTTATGTTTGTTAAAACATTTTCAACTGTTCTGTTTTTTTTTATGACTGCCCTGTAAGCATTTCACGTTACAACGCAGTTCTTGAAAAGATGTTGTAGGCTGGCAATTTAATTTTCAGCCCTCCAGCTCCAGAGCAAAATTAAGAAAATGAAATGAATTGCCTTGTATGTTTATTTATTTTACCTAATTTTAGGAAAAGAGCTATGGCTCTTGAATAATTAGAATAGAAGAGCTAATTTTCAGCTGGAGCACAAACCACCTTGACAGCCATGTGTTAGCCTAGCTTAATCTTGCCAGATCTACGTGATGCTGGTGGATCAGTAGCTGGCGCTCTTACAGTATCCAATCCTATCCCCAGCATGGTGACTGGGGACACCGATTTAGGAGGTGCCATCATTTCAAAGAGATGTTAAACCAAGTTGCAGACTGCCATGTCATTACATATCCCATGGGACTGGTCATAAGTGTCAGGGTGTTAATCCAGTGCCCACATGGGCTTGAACAATTTTATCTACCTACCGTTCCCCCCACAAATCGGCTGGTGATTGGCTGTCCCTCGCTTCTCCACACAACCTGCTTCATGGTCACCATGTGTCTGCGCTTCAGTGGCGAATGAAGTGGGTCCCCTCCCCTGTGTAAATAACTCTGGAATCATGAGTGTCTGTTCCTGCGTCCCCAGGGGGGAGTCTAGTGAAGAGTGGCTCTCTCAGCGTGGCCCAGAGGCTGAAGGGGCTGCTGCTGTCCACAGCTGAGGGCAGGAAGCTGGAGATCCAGGACGACCCGGCGGAGACGCTACAGATGCTCGTCGATCTGGTCTGTGTCTCAGTCCTTGCCCACATGCAGCTGTGTCCTCAGTATATGCTTCTGTTTCTTGTAGGATCTTTCCTTGTGGTCCCGCAAAAAAGATCCAGGGTGCTTTGCAGCATTGAATTTTTTTGCGATTAAGGTGTTGGTAGTATTGATGACCGATTTAGACTCAGCAGACCTATTATGTCATTTGAGGATGTTTGTAATTATGTTGCTTTTAATGCCTGTTACACCCAGGTGTGCAGTTAGTAACTGTAATAAAATGTACTGGGTCAAAACTTAACAGATTATTAACAGATGAGCAAAAGGTACAGAATTTGATGGGAAAGGACAGTCAAACAGGAAGATCTTGCAGTCCTGTCACTTGTCCATGTGCAACACTGTCTGTGTTGATAATGCCTCAGTACATATAAGCAGCTAATTTCTAACTGACAGGTGTTTTCTGTAGTGTTGTTCCCCCTCTGTATGTCTCAGTCTGTCCTGTGAATGCCTGTTGAGTTTCCAAACTGAAAATGTAAACCCAGAGGGGACTTTTCCTTGAGTGGTTTAATATTGTGTTGTACTCACTGCAGCTCAACGACAAAGAGGAAGCCTTGGCCCACCAGAGAAAGGTCAGCTATATGTTGGCTCGCAACTCTGAAGAGCTGGAACGCCGCCTCCGGCAAGTGACAGACGCATGTCCTGCAGGAAGTAGCAGCTGCAGGCGAGAGGGCAGCGCTGACCGCCGCAGCTCGGACCCTGGGACCCTGCGCCCAGCTGCCACATGCAAGAGCTGTCGGACACGACAGCACTCCTCTGTTAGCAAGGAAACACTGAGAGAGAAAACCGGCGTCCAGACAGAAACACAGAGAGAGAAAACCGGTGTCCAGACAGAAACACAGAGAGAGAAAACCGGTGTCCAGACAGAAACACAGAGAGAGAAAACAGGCGTCCAGACAGAAACACAGAGAGAGAAAACAGGCGTCCAGACAGAAACACAGAGAGAGAAAACAGGCCTCCAGACAGAAACACAGAGAGAGAAAACAGGCCTCCAGACAGAAACACAGAGAGAGAAAACAGGTCTCCAGACAGAAACACAGACAGAGAAAACAGGTGTCCAGACAGAAATGCAGAGAGAGAAAACAGGCGTTCAGTCAGAAACGCAGACAGAAAAAATAGGCGTCCAGACAGAAACACAGACAGAGAAAACAGGCGTCCAGACAGAAACACCAAGAGAGAAGACAGGCGTCCAGACAGAAACACAGACACAGTCAGAAACACAGAGAGACAAAACAGGCATCCAGACAGAAACATCACGAGAGAAAACAGGCGTCCAGACAGAAACACAGAGAGAGAAAACAGGTATGCAGACAGAAACACAGACAGAGAAAACGGGTATCCAGACAGAAATGCAGAGAGAGAAAACAGGCGTTCAGTCAGAAACGCAGACAGAGAAAATAGGCGTCCAGACAGAAACACAGACAGAGAAAACTGGCGTCCAGAAAAACTTCTCCACCGCTTTGGCACTGCCATCTGAGAAAGAGCCGACTGATGCCCCTGTAACTCAACTGGGACAGATATGAAGAGTGAGATTAAGACACAGACAGAACCAGTGGAAAACCAGAAGGAAGGAGAACCTCTCATCTGAAAGACTCATAAATATAGAAAACTGCAGAAGAACATGATAACTTTTGAAGCTTGTTTTTAATAGTCTTGGTCTGGCCTGACAGAGATGAGTGATTCCCATGTGTATGTGCTCTGGCGAAATTCATTAATTTAATCTAACATGACAAAGAGACAGTATTTCCCACCTCTGAAGAACCTGGAAAGGATTCATGGAGAGACACTCCTCAGGCCACAAAGATTAACACTCACAGCATAAATCCTGGTTAGGAAGACACGAAAAAAGTAACGGGCAAAAAAACAAATATCTCTTACTTGGCAGAATCTACATGTTGAAGCAGTTGTCCGTTTTAACTTTTAAATTCCTTTCAAATTCAGAAAGGCTGGTTTTAAAAATTCTCAAGAGGGAAATGTTTTGTAAACTCACTTTTATAAGGATACATGCCAAAAAAAATGAATGAAAGGAATTGTTTTAATGCTAGAATTAAAATATTGGGGTGATTATAGTTTTTGGAATTGTCAGTCTGGGGTTTCAGTAATCATGTCATTAACCCGCTATCATTACTAATAAACACTTAAGAATAAACCGTTTTGTTTTTGCAAAAAAGACCATAACATTGGATTGATGTCCCATGCTTTCAGAGGTTTATTACCCATCTACCTACTTCATTCCAGTACAGGGTGGATAGCATTAGCTCCATGCTTGGCATTGCTTACGAGGATAAGAGTCTTTCAAAACAAGACAAGTCACCTTTAAGTCAAGTTTTTTACTTTTTGCTTTTTGGGAATCGGAGGAAACACTAATGCACGATACAGCTGTATAGCAACTCTGCAGGCTAGGAGGGGACTAGCTCAGAGGAGCTCGCCAGTTACTTGCAACACTGACCCACCTACTGAGGAGAACTGGTCTACCGACTGAATTCCAGAACGGGAATAAGGACTACAGATTAGTCTGAAGGTTTCTTAAGGAAAAGGGTTTTAAAACCTGACCGAGCTGTCGTAATTTTAAAGAGAAAAGTAGCTTGAGTTTTTAGAATTGAAGATAGGTCTATTGAATATCTTTGTGAAATGCTCTGAACATCTCTTTGTAAAAGCTTCTCAGTATTTCCATATTAAAAGGTTGCTCTTAATATCAATTGAGTGCATTTTTGTTCTGGCGATGCAATATTTCTATTTAGTCGTTCTTTTAAAATTTCAAAACCTTTGCGGTCCTTGGTGTTGTGAAAGCATAGGAAAAGTTACAAACCTGTGAAGGTTATTTAGCCCTCTTATCTAGTTTTATTGCTAATAGATCATTAATCCAGGGATATCTTTAAAGAAGCTGTGGTATAATTGAGAACATTATTGAGCTCAGTAATCGGTTTCTCAATTTCTCTGAGAATAACAAGTCAAATCAGAATTAGTTAGGTTTTTTTATTTCCTATCATTTTGAATGCAAATTGTCAGTATTATACAGAGTTTAGAAATTACAAATTGAAGAACTCAGAAATCTTGTGTATAAACAGCCCTCTTCTGTTCTTATTGTATTATTGCATTATTGCAGTCCCAACAAGAAAAGGCAGAATGTGAACAGAGGAGTCTTTAACAGAGTCAAATGTTAATGCGACCTACAGTAAAAATATTCTAGATTTAAGAAGCACACTCTCAAAAAAAGTGCCAAAGCTGCAGGCAATGGAGTATACATTATGGTATATGTTTCGAAATGATTACTGTATTTAAACAAAGCAAACTCCCACATAAAGAAGGGAAAGCTGAATTGCTTTCAACACCTTTGGCGGATTCTCAGATCTGGGCGTGAAAAAAATGTAAACGCCTATAGGGGTGAATCCATGTCATGAGCACAGTTCTGAGAATTATGAAAACCAGTTCACTCACTGCCATGGCTATCCTGCAGGACAGCTGACCCTGCTTGCGACATCCACATGAGTGTCGGTAAAGGGCTGAGGTCAGTGAAGCCTCCCCAGACTGAAGGACCTGACATTTTTTAGCAATTGCATTTAACTCCAAGCTGACGGGCAGGGCCAGATCACGATGGCATTCTATGATATCCTAAGAGCTACTAGTATCTATCCAAGTGATTTCCAGAACCGAAGGAGTCCGGGCATGGGAATTTGCACTTGGCTCCAGACAGCCACAAGCGTCTGTACGGCTTGGCCTAAAAAAAAAAGGTCTATGTGCATTGAAGAGTAGTCGAACTTTTCTCTTTCTTGCATCACCGCCTATCTCCAGAAGAGGTCAGTCTAACCACGTTTTCTCTTTGTCAGAGATACTCCAGACCGCTGGGAGTCCAACGATATCTTAAGAGCACACAGCCACTGTGAATTCTGGGAAGAAATATTAAATAGTTCTCAGCATTTTACAATGACAGTGGGGAGGTTGACAGCGTCTTTGGAACACTCTGGAATGAACAGGCATGTTATACTGTAGGTAAATTCGTTCATTTTTAAATTTAAAAGTCAAGGTCTAATAATGGGTGTGGCCACCGTTGGATACGATCCAAGCTGTACAAAGCACATATGTGGCCCCAGTTTGCAGGTGCTGTGTTGAGGGACTCTGCCTCATTTCTCTCAGATCCTGGACAAGCGCGTGCCTGTTCGCTGGTCTCTGAGTTCTAGATGCCACACACCATTCCAGCTCATCTCACCCATATCCAGGCGGGGCTCAAGTCTGGCAATACGTGCTTTCACAGCTAATAGCCACATTCTCACCTTGTAAGGAAGCTGTTGCTACACAGGCAGCACGAGGACAAAGGTTGTGCTGTTGTAACGTTGTCACACCTCAATGAGCCGGCAGGAAGGCCAGTGAGACGGGCCCAGGTCCTGGTCAGTGTAGTGCTGTGCAGTGGGCTTGTCTGTAGTCACTGGCCCAGTGGTGGGCAGTCCAGGTCTTGGTCAGTGTAGTGCTAAGCAGTGGGATTGTCTGTAGCCACTGGCCCATGGGTGGGCAGTCCAGGTCTTGGTCAGTGTAGTGCTGTGCAGTGGGCTTGTCTGTAGTCACTGGCCCAGTGGTGGGCAGTCCAGGTCTTGGTCAGTGTAGTGCTAAGCAGTGGGATTGTCTGTAGCCACTGGCCCATGGGTGGGCAGTGCAGGTCTTTGAGGTTCAGTGTTTCTGCAGGTTTTCATTCCAACTCATGTCATGATAAATGCATTACATGTGGAGATCTGCTATTAATCTTAGACATGGAAAATGTTATCTCACATATAGAAGTGGTAAACAATGTAGTATATGACATTTATATATATATATAAGTTCTACACTGGAGCATAGAAGCATTCTATATGATATCTTCCCCTTTAATAAAACAATAAAACTTGTAATGTAGAATACAAGTGAGAAACGAAACAGAATTCCGTAAACTCATTAAAAACAGTACATGTGGGCATTTTAAAGTTTGGTACACTCCATCATTTGACGTTCTTCTGCTTTTACCGGTTCCAGGCTCTGTTTATTAACTTCACAAAGGGCTTTCTCATTTTCAAAAGCCATGTTGACCTCCCCTTGTGGAGTTTTGAAGCTCAAACTATTAATCAGACCGGGTCCTGCAAGTGGCTTGTCGTCGGGCTTGTCTGATGTCACTTTTTTGTAAATCTGATAAACTGCAGAGAAAACAGATTACAGGTATCAGAATAAGATGTGGCCATTATTTTGACTTCTAAATTGTTACATTATGTATTTACCAAAAATCCTGAATTGTGATGTTCTAAACGATTATTTCAAAATAAAAGTATGTTATGAATTAAATAAGAAACGGAATCTGCAGCATTTTTTAAATCTGTTGTGATTTGGAAACAGGTTATGCAATCAGCTTCTTAGGATATTTTACAGTACATGTGAGGAACAAGAAAACGTGTTTTACCACAAACTTTGTTTTTCTTTACTGGACACTAATTCATTACTGGCCAATGAGTATGTTTTTTTACATCTGTATAGCACTGTGGGATCCAAAAGTCCTTTAAAACACTAGCAGAGACCTACTTCATCCACCTCTCTGTTTTAAAAAGACAGGGAATGTGACCACAGATGGGTAACTCTGTACATCTCATTTTGTCCTTTCCTCTTCTTCCAAATCTACCTCTTTTCCTCTGGACTCCAGCAGCACCATCCCATAAGACTCCCATCTCTGTCAAGATCCTCAGAGTCGCTCTCTAAACCCCCCCTCTCTCTCCCACTTCCTGTTTTTTCTCTGGCAGGCTCCAAGCAACATTTATACAACCAGCCCCTTCCTTCCCAACTGTCCTACACCTCTCCCATGCTCCTATTCCAGGCCCTGGCACTCTCCTGCCCAGACTATTATAACTTGCTCTCGGCCGGCCTTCCTGCCAACTCTTTGTGTTTTCACATACCCCAGCTTGCTCTCCATGAGACACACAGACAGGGAGAGAAGCCTGGGGTCAGAGTGCAGGTCAGCCATTTAAACGGTGCCCCTGAAGCAGTTGGGGTGAAGGGCCTTGCTCAGGGACCCAACGGAGTAGGATTCCTCTGCCGGCCACGGGATACAAACCGGCAACCTTCCAGCCACAGGCGCAGATCCTTAACCACCGCCCATTGATGCAAAACCCTAGGCCTTGCCTTCCAATGTTTCGATCCCTCTTCTCCTCCCTGTCTTTAATCTCTCACTTTCCCTCCCACCAAACCTCTGGACTCCTCCTCTTCCTCCACCTCCTGTACCCCCTCTCCGTTCTCTCACTGCTAAAGCCTGCTCTGGAGTCCGCTATAGAAGTGCTCGTTCCCTCTCCTTGCCCAGCAGGACTCTTCTGTTCCTTTGCATGTGTGATCTCTCCGCTCTCAGCCAAATCCTCCAGTACCTCTTTCACTGTATTGCGCTAATTTTTTCTAGTTTTGCCTAAGCAGTCAGAACCTGTGTTTAGCATGTTTCAAACGCTGGTTTGGGAATTCTGGTATTCAGAGGGTAGAGCATCATCTACAGTACTTGGTCTACCAGCATGATTTACAGCAGCAAGCTGGCTTTCCTGAATTAATGACAAGGGTCAGCCTTGCTTAACTTCTCATATCTGGAAGGTCAAGCTACTAACCTCCTTACTGTAAATGCAGACCTTTGCAGTTTTCAGTAAAGAAAAAAAGAACAGATGAATCATGCCTGCTTGCCTCAAATTAACCTATTTTTGAGAACACAGTCACTGAAGCCCTGTGGAAAAAAACCAATGCCTCCATGTTTTCTGGGCATCAGCCCTTGAACAGCTCAGGTATGGCCATCGTCTCTAGTACAGCTCTAACAGAAAAGTGAGAGGGCCCTAAGCAGCACCAACCCACCCACCTGTCACAATAAGCAGTCCGTTCAAAAGCTGGAAGGAGCCATAAATGAGAGGGAAGGTGAACATGAGAACCAGCTGCTCTGCGGGGAAGGACAGCTGAAGCATGGTGGAGCAGACCTGGACATTCTGGGCTCCTGTCTCCAAGGCAATCGTCCTGCACCTGCAACAAGGGAATGAGCCCCTGCGTCAATCTTACACAGTCGTCTTCCCTCCTCGAGAGGGCGCTCCCACCTTCTTTGGTATTGATTTTTGTTTCATTATCCCCAGCTGTGTCTTGTCTCTTTTGTGTTATTCAAGCTGGGCGTCTCCGCTGTTCCGGGCTCAGTTTTGGAAGGCCGACATCCGAAGATCCGCCTACCACCAGGCCTAGAGTGAGCCTGAGGGCATAGGCCTTCACCCCGGCGTCCTGACCTCTGGGCCTGGGGCTCGGGGTGCCTGGTCCTGTTAAGGTTTTACTATTCGTGTTCCTGTCCTGAGGATGTTACCTGTGTCTTAAACTTGAACTTGAACTTGAACTTTATTGCCATATGTAACCGGTACTGGTACAATGGAATTCTTACTTACAGAGAGTCTCTC